GGATAAACATTATGCAAGATCTTAAAATGTATCTCTCTTATTTTGTTGGATATGCTAAATTTTTCAGGTAATAACCATGCTCTCTTCCACTGAATGCACTCAGAGAAGTTGGTCCAAAAAAAATTTACATCTTGGGGTGGTATATAAAGAGTAATGTAACAATCGTCTGACATGTCTGTTGTCACATTTTTTATCAAAAAAAGACACTCCATTCAAAAAAAGTTTAGGCATAATTGTTTCCCTCTCATTAAAGTAAAGAAAAGTTTTAAATAAATGCACATAACTTTGTGACAAACTCTTTATAACACAGTTGAAGGATTTAGCTGGCAAAGGGAAGTTATACAATGTCATAAATTCTTCATATTCCAAAATATTGCCATCATTTTTAAATAAGTCCAAAACAAAAACTATTCCTCTTTCAAACCACTTATCAATAAAAAAGAGATTTCCCACAAGTTAAGACATTAGAGTTGTTCCAAAGAATTTCTTTGTGTGGGGAAAAATTGTGCACGTAACACAATTTCCAAGCAAGTAAAGCTTGTTTGTGAAAGTTAGAGAGGGAGATTGGCAATTTAGAAGTGATGAAATTGCATTTTAAAAGAAAGTCTAAACCACCTAATTTATCAAATATAACATTGGGGATATGGTACCAAATTGAATTATTACTACGGAGACATCTTTGTAGCCAATTAATTCTAAATGAGCTAATTAAATCTTTGAAATTTAAAACCTCTAATCCACCCTCTGAGCGCCTATTATAAGACTGATTTTCTAATTTCATGGGTTTTATTCTTCCATATGAAGTTCAATAACACTTTATTTACATTATCAGCAATTTTGTCACTGATCAAAAGAGACATCGCAGGATAAACACAATGAGACAGCCCTTCAGCTTTGGATATAAGTACCCTGCCATAAATGTTTAAGTCACGTTGAAGCCATGAATTAAAGATAATTCTAGTTTTTGAAATTTTAGGTGAAAAATTTAGATTTTGAAGAGATAATTTGTCTTTAGTAAAGAAAATCCCCAGGTACTTCACACAATCTTTAACAGGTATGTTGTGTATAAGAGATTGCTGTGTATCATAGAGACAAAAAAATTTCACACTTTGTAAGATTTAAATATAATCCTGAGGCTTCAGAAAAAGATTGAATAAAACTAAGACTTAAAGGAATTTGAGTTTGATCTTTAAGAAATAAAGTGGTATTGTCAGCAAGTTGAGAAATTTTAAATTCTTTGTCAAACAAAGTGAGACCTTTCAAATTTGGATTTTGTAGGATATTAAGAGATAACAGTTCAACGGCTAAAAGAAAAAGGAATGGGGAAATGGGGCAGCCTTGGCGCACACCTCTATCACAAATAAAACGTTTAGTGGTTTGCAGATTAACCAAAACCGAGGAGTTAATGTTAAGCATTTTCACCATATTAACAAAGTTATTTCCAAAACCAAAAGCTCTGAGAGAGTTAAATAAAAAAATTATGCTCTAATGAATCAAATGCTTTATAAAAGTCTAAAAACAAAATCATAGATTCTGAGTCAATGTTCTCTGAGTAGTCAATAAGATCAAGTACTAATCTTATATTAGAGCTAATATGTCTATTATTCATGAAACCATTTTGTGTTTTACCAATTATACTGTGAAGACCAGATTTTAAACGAATTGCAAGAGTTAAGGCAAGTAGCTTATAATCTATATTTAACAAAGAAATCAGCCTCCAATTTTCAATTAAAAGTTTATCTTTATCTGATTTGGGAATTAAAGAAATGAGACCCTGCTTCATTGTGGGTGTCATTTCAGTTTTTTTAATTCATTCTTTAAACATAAAATATAAAGGCTGCTTTAAAATATTCCAGAAGTGTAAATAAAATTCAACAGACAAACCATCATTACCTGGAGATTTTCATTTTTTCAAAGATCTTAATGCACCTTCTATTTCAGCAATAGATATATCAGCGTCACATAGCAACTTAAAATCCTCACTAATATTAGGAACTTTATCATGGACAGATACAAAGAAGCCATCACATTTTTCTTGAGAAAACTCAGAAGTATATAATTTTTTATAGAAATTGTATACAAAGGATGAAATAATATTAGGATCTGTACAAAGAACCCCATCAACCTTTAAAGAAGAAAGAGACATTTTTTTCTGTTTCTTTTTTCAAGAGCAAAAAAGTAATCAGTATTTCTTTCGCCCTTTTCAATCCATTTAGCTCTAGAGCGTATGAATGCACCTTTAACAATTTCTGAATACATATTTAAAATTTTCATGTCACAAATGCTATATTCTATCTCATCTTCTTTACTAAGATTATTTTTCTGCTTTAACACACTTAATCTATAAATAATTTGAAATTCTTCATTATTTTTTTCTTTTTTAATTTGTTTGCTCCTGTTTATGGCAAAGTCTCTAACTTTAAATTTGAAAAGCTCCCAGCTAGAGCAAGGATCTTTTTCCATATTACTTAAAGTACGCTTAGCCAGCTGAGATACATAATCATTGAATGGGGTGTCTTCCAATAAGCGATTATTAAATTTCCAGTAGCCTCTTGTATTGTTTGGCATCCTATTTTGTTTAAGGTCCAGATAAATTAACATGTGATCAGTAAATGGAGAAAAGCGATGATTAACAGAAAAAAAAATCTTTTAAAATAGCATGGGAAACTAAAAAGAGATCAATTCTGGCCTTAAGTGATCCAGATTTGTTGGACCAAGTAAAGCCACTCCTGTCATTATTAAAAAAAAACGCCATACATCAACAACTGAAATATTTTCACATAACCATAAAATAATATTATCAGCTTTAGTTGTTGTTCTGGAAGGAAATCTGTCTTGTAAGTCATCTGGAGTTTCATTAAAATCACCAGCTATAATAACATAAGCATTAATATAACGCCTCTGAATATTAATAAGTTTGGTACCCAATTGTTTGAACATAAATACATTGGCGCTTCTTGTGTTGTGTCCATAAACATTACACAAAATGAAAATCACATTTTCGATTTTACAAACTAAGACGATCCATCTACCCTCATCAGATATTAAAGATATAATAGAAATAAAATGTCACCTCTAAATTTGTGAGTCAAAATTAAAGTACCAGCTGAACGGTTAGAACCATGACTCATATAAATCACATTTCCCCACTGCGTTTGCCAAAATGTTTTATCTGACTCAACAGAATGACTTTCTTGGACAAAAATAAAATCTGCATTAGTACGCTTACAATACAAAAATAAAGCTTTTCGTATGATCTCTTAAACCACAAACATTAGGAGAGGCTAGAATAAATGAAGAAAATTCAAAGGAACACATAACAAACAAGAGAATTCAATGCAGTGCAAAAAAAAAAAAAAAAAAAAACCCAGCAGAACCACCGGCAACAGTAAAAAAATTTATTTAAACTGCATTATGCAAATTAAGGGGAGAAAAAAGTCTCACGGACTTCATTCAATTTACAGTTTATGAGGCCTCAATCTTCTGTTCATCAATGAACGCAAAGGGACCAGAGAAGGATGCTTTCTTACCCTCCTCTCTTGCTTTTTTGACGATTGGCCATAACTTTGCACGCGCAGCAGCATCTGCAGGAATCAATGCTTCTGAAATGCGTAGGCAAGATTCTTTTAAATATGCGTTGTCCTTCGCCGCCTTCCAGGCGTTGTCTCGGATTGATCTTGTAGAGAACCTAATAATGATGCTTCGCTGACCTCCGTCCTGGTTACGTCTCCCGACACGGTGCATAACATCTAATGCATCGCTGAGCTTGCCGCGAATGTCAGGTGCCACACATTCCAGAATATTCAAAACAATAGAGTGTAGATTCTCATTCTTGGTTTCGGGAACCCCATGCACTTTTAAACACCAGCGCCGACTGTATCTCTCAAGCTGCTCAATTCGAGATCTGACATCCTTATCAGAAGTCTGAAGCTCTGTAATGTCACTTGCAATTTTGCAATTTTTTTCCGAGTGTTCCTTGACATCAGAAACAAGCTTATGCACCTCCAACGACAGGTTGTCTACGGCTTTCGTTGTAGCATCAGCCGAAGTCTCAATAGCGGTCAATTTTTGTAAAGTAGCGTCCTGTTTAACAGACAATGTATGGATGGCATTCAAAATGTTGGTGAACTCCCCACTAGTTTCAGGCTTCTTCTTGGATTTTTTAGATGGAGGACTTTTTGCTGGACTCGCAGGAAGGGGTGTCGCCAAACCAAGTTTCTCATGATCAAAGGTAGCAGGGTGATCAGCAAGTGCCTTGAACCTGTTGCTCAGGCCGACTTCAACCTCTGCGCCAACTTCGACATCCATTACTTTAGCTAAATCACGTCTTCTCCTTCCCATTTAAGAGAAAATCGGTGCAACAATGCAGAAACTATATTAAGCAGATACTATATTAATCACATTACTATTACTACCGCCAGAACGAAAATCACACGACTATCCACCAAGACGCCATTTTGGCCTCCGAAAATAAGCTTGAAAAGTCGTCTGTTGCAAGGTGGGGCTGACGTCACAGACGAGCGCCCCGAGGGCTCTGTAGTCCGTTAATAGCCTAATGTTAGCTTTTCAACTCTTGCGTTTGCATTTAAGATCCAAAAGTGCTCAAAGTTGTATTTTCGTGTGAGGATTATCCGGCTGGACAAAACGTGTAAGTGTAATGAACAGTGTTTGAACACAGAGCTTATTATTTGCAATCTTCGAAAAGCCTATGGGAAAATCCTATAGGGATCTTCACAAGGGAACCAGTTTTATGCTAGCAGCCGATTAGCCTACAAAGTGACGTCATAGTTCCTCCACTCTATTCTGATGCTCGGTTTGAACTGCAGCAGATCATCTTGACCATGTCATATGCCTAAATTGAGTTGCTGCAATGTGATTGGCTGATTAGAAATTTGTATTAACGAGCAGTTGGACAAGTTTACCTTAAACACAATATTGCTTGGTGGGGCAAGACTGAATACAGTAAATATAAAATGCCAAAAACAGTAAGCACACCAATATTGTGATATATACAATTCGATTTATTTAAATGTTTTATATATGAATATATTTAAACTGTAGTTTATTCCTGTGGCGAATCATTTCTGCAGAGTCATTAGTGTCATATTAACAGAAATCATTATAATATGATCATTTGCTGCTCAAAAAAATATTATGACAATTCAGAAAACTGTTGTGTACATGTGTTTTTTTTGCAGGATTTTTAAAAACTACAACAAAACAGCTTCTGTCTGAAATTAAAAGTCTTTCATCAACATTTAGCAAATATTGCAAGTTTTTTGCAAACTGGTAATAAAAACCAGACTAATGTCACCCAAAATAAGGAGTGCTAAAAACTGAAAGTCATACAATTTTCTTCTGACTCCCACACACCAACAGTGCATGTTTTCATACTTGTAATAGAGCACTGTGGAGTTACTGGGAGGTGTGGAGCACAGGCACACAGCCTTCAGCCCAAGAGTCAATAGAACAAGGCTGAGGTTCTGTGTCTTCCTGCCAAAAGGGGTCATGTTCCCGATCATCTCCTTCATCTCTCCCGAGGAGAAGACATTCAACCGTCTCCACCAGGTTATTTTGAGCCCACCAAACAGAGTAGGATATCAGCTGGAAAACAGGTAGTTTGTGCATGAGCTCAATGAATGACTTAAAATGCTACTATTACAAGTTACATTTTCACTTACATAAGCAATAAATCTGTATTACTGTATACTTCATTTTATATTAACAAAAAAAAGGTTCTAATGAATTTTAATTTATTTATTTTAACAGGGACAATGCTCATTAATAAACAGTAAAACTGTAAATAAGCCAGAGTTAGCCACAAGGGCTAATTGTCATCAGTTGCCCCCTGCCAGATGTTAAAAGGCAACCTAAAATCAAAAAGCACATCTACACACATACAAAAACAGTAAAAACAAAGGGATAAAACAAGTAAAAAGAATTTCTTAAAATGTAAAGGCAAAATAATTCTACATGATTACAAACTTGATTTACTTTTAGCCATTTCTTTAACTTGTATTTAAATGTTGAATAATTTGTAACACCCCTCAAATCAATAGGAAGTGTGTTCTTCCTAAAATGACTGGCTCCAACTGAGAAAACTAATGGTGCAAAAGTTGTACGTCTAAACTGCACAGCTCAGTCTCCCCTGGTAACAGATCGTATTGCTTGACCATTATTATTTTTGCATGTCACAAACTTACATAATGGAGGTGGACCATATCCATTTCATATATTTTATATTATCAAAGCTCAATAAATAATGTTTTTGTATTATATTACAATCCTGATACCTAATAGACTTCTGATCAAATACTTTAAGTGCCTGTTTATAAAGTGATTCAACTGATTTTAAGATTTTAAGAGCGTGTGACCAACTAGTAAGACATTTTGTAAAATTAAAACAAAAATCATGGAGTGCATAAAAAGTTTTCCTTCTTCATTAGTCATTTAAGGTCGTATATGCCTGAAGTTGGCCAGATTAAATTTAACAGTTTAAGTGACCTTCATTCCATGCTTTTGGAATGTCAGTAGTGAATCTTAAATTAGACCTAAATATTTAAAATCAGAGACAACCCTGAGCTTTTCTCCTTTAACAAATACATCAACATGATGGGTAACTGTGAATGATTGTGAAAAAACATACAAACCGTTTTACTTGTACTCAAATTAATATATGATTCAAACAACCAATATGCACATATACAGTAGATATGTGTCATCAGCATACATCTGGATATTAATAGTAGGAAAGATTTGTGGGAGGTCATTTATATACAGACTAAACAGGATAGGGCCCAAAATGTATCCTAAAGGTACTCCACAATTACTGATTCTGTATACTGATTAACTATTACCAAAGCGCACACATTGTTTCCTATTTGTTAGATATGAAGTCATCCACATAATCACCTCTGATAAAAATTTAAAAGGAGTGAGCTTTGAAAGGAAAACTTCATAATTTACTGTCAAATGTCCTTTTTAAATCTAAAAAAAAGAAAAAAAAAAACTCCTACTGTATAACTTCACCTCTGTCAAGCTTAGATTTCATATACTCTATAAGATAACAATTAGCAGATTCGGTTGAGTGATAAGCTCTAAATCCAAACTCCATTAGATGTAAAGATTTATGTCCCACATTCAAGTAGGCAATCAATTGCATTACTACCCATTTCGCTGCTACTTTGACAACTGTAGGCAATATACTAACCGGCCAATAGTTTTGTACATTTGTTTGCTCGTCAGCTTTTAAAATTGGTGTCACTATTCCAAGCATCTGTGTATATACCTTATGTAATTGAAAGATTTATTAGATGGGTGAAAGGGGCCAGCTATATCCTTGTATGTTTTAAAACACAGAATCTAATCCATAAGTGTCTTTTAGTTTTGAAGTTCTAAGTGAGTCTATAATGTTCAAAACCTCAGATTCAGATATATCATCTATTTTAAAATTTAGTTTTTTATAATTTATTGGACTGTGTGTCGCACATTCGCTAGTTCCGCAACAGAATTAATACAATTCTGAATTTATAAAAGTCTTTCCTGATCATGATAGATTTAATCATTCTAAAAATACATTTTAAAATTCTAAAAAGCTGTTTTGTCATCTCAACCGTCATCTGAACAGTAGCAAATGTTATATGTTCATTTTCATTGCTGTCAGAAATTAAAAATGGCCATACCATTGACTAAGGTACAGAAATACCTTGTTTTGGCCATGGAATTTAATTGAGAACTGAAAAGCACAATATAAATTACAAGATGTAAACTGCAAAATTGCAAAACAGCATTTCAAGAGTTCACACTTAGATATTGCTTGACAACTGTTAGCAGGTTTGGCATGCTGTCCCGGGAGAGAACCCAGAGCTCGGAGATAGTTGAGCCCAGGGCTCCTGCCAGGTCCATAGAGCATGTGAGGGGAGTACGAGATCAGGTGGTTCTCGAGAGCTCCCCTTTTTAAAGGAAAAAAGGAGGAGAAAGGGGGTGGATTTTTTTTTTCTTCGGAAATTGAAGATAAGGGAGTAATATCTAGCTAGGCTACTTATAGTGAGTTAGGATAGATCTGATTGGCTAACTAATGAGTGTAGATAGGTGGCCAGCTGCAGTCAATTATATCACATGCTCCTCTCGAAATTAGTTTAAAAACTTCACTTCAAGAGTTCACACTTAGATATTGCTTGACAA